GGCATGTCTGGGGCTCTGTCCCGGAGTGTCCGTTTGATTCTTTGGTTTTCTGTTATGCTTGTCTGAGCTCCTTAATTTTCATGTGGCACTGTGTTGCGTCCCTGATATAGCCTCTGTCCCTCATGGCCTCTGAGATTTTTTGAAATGTTTTGGCATTTTGTCTTTTGGAATGTAGTTCTGATAGCATGGATTCCTCTCCCCATACAGCGATCAGATCCAGTACCTCCCGTTCGGTCCATGCTGGAGCTCTTTTTTGATTCTGGGACTGCATGGCCACCTGTGCTGATGAGCTCCCCTGGCCAAACAGGAAATGAGATTCGAAAGTTCCTGGGGCTTTTCCTCTACACCTGGCCAGTGCTTCTGAGTTCAGAGTGCTGTCCAGAGCGGTCACAATGGTGCACTGTGGGATAGCTCCCAGAGGCCAATACCTTCGAATTGCATCCACACTAACCCTAATTTGAAACGGCGATGTCGACTTCGGCGCTAATCCCCTCTTTGGGCAGGAATACAGAAATCGGTTTTAAGAGCCCTTTATGTCAAAAAAAATGGCTTCGTTGTGTGGACGGGTTCAGGGTTAATTCAGATTTAATGTGGCTAAATCTGACAAATTTGTAGTGTAGACCAGGCCCGGAAGTGCAGTATAGGTACCTACAGGGTGAGGCAACTGCAACCCTCAACTAGAGTTCTGTACATGGATATAGGTAAAACTGCACCCAAAACAGATGGCCAATGTGGATGCTCTGCACCAGTGCTACTTATACCAGTCTCAGAGTAGCAGCCGTGTTAGTCTGTATCCGCAAAAAGAACAGGAGTACTTGTGGCACCTTAGAGACGAACCAATTTATTTGAGCATAAGCTTTCATGAGCTACACCTCACTTCATCCTATGATGAATTTATGCTCAAATAAATTGGTTAGTCTCTAAGGTGCCACAAGTACTCCTTTTCTTTTTACCTATACCAGTGCTATCCCAGCTACCAATAGTTCAGTTCTCTAGTGTTGATGCTACTTTTGAAACTGAAACACAAAGCTTGTTTTGCTGCCTCGGAGCTGCTAACCAGTCATTACAAAGTATGTACAGCTTTTTTCACTCATCCAATTCAGTCCGGTATCAAAACATTTTAAAAACATAACAAATGGAAAGGGACAAAGGTATCCCCAGCCACTCCACTTTTCAAAAACGTATGTGTGACTAAAATTGGTTCACCTCAAAACAAAGAACTGACAGTACTGTCTCAAGCTGGGTGCTGTGTAACTTTCCATTACCCAATGCCTCTCAAGTTAGCCCTGCAGTATCCTCTGCTCTTCCAGTCCTGCCCACCACAGCTTTACCCAGAGATGCTGGAACAATTTGTATAGTTGGGGTGCTGAGAGCCATTGAACCAAACTGTAACCCCTGTATATGATGGAAACCACTTCAAGCCAGGGTGTGCAGCAGCACTCCCAGTTCCAGCACCTCTGGCTTTACCAGTGCAATCAATCCTGACTACAGCCCTTCGCTATTCTAGTTCTGTTCTCTTACAGTCAGCTCTGCCAGTGACTTCCCTCAGATTATTTATGTATAGCACCAGTAAGAGAGGCACTTTTTACAACTTTGTGGCTGAGCTAAGAGGTGGCAGAAAAAAGTTGACAGCTTCATCCGTACTAGGTGGGGACTGTACTTCTCGTCCTACCTTCAGTGGACATGGAGAACAATTGATCACCATCCTCTTTATAACATTATTATGTTCCCCTCAGTCTTCTTTTCTCAAGACTAAGGTTTTTTTAAACCTTTCCTCAAAGGTCAGATCTTCTAAACCTTTTATCATTTTTGTTACACACCTCAGGACTCTCTTCAATTTATCCACATCTTTCCTCATGTCTAGCACCCAGAATTGGACTCAGTACTTTAGATCAAACTAACTCGATACGTACACATAAGCAATGAGATTACAAGTTTTGTTGATAAAGGTAATAGCGCTGATGTAACACACAGACTTCGGTAAGCCATTTGTCTTGGTACTGCATGGTGGTTTGATTAAGAAAAGAGAATGATATAAAATCAACATGGCACACAAAATGGATTAAAACTGGTTAACTGATCTGTCTCAATATTTTATTGTAAATGGGGAATCATCATTAAGTGTGTGTTTCTAGTGGGGTCTTGCAGGTTCTTTCCCCTATTTAACATTTTTATTAATGACTTGGAAGAAAACAAAATAATTACTGATAAAGTTTACAGATGATAAAGATTAGGGAAATGATACATAACGAAGATTATAGGTCACTCATAAGAACAAATCTGATCACTTGGTAAGCTGAGGGCAAACAGTATGTGTTTCAGTATCACCGAATGCAAGAAGTCATACATCTAGGAACAGAGAATGCAGGCTATGCTTATAAGATGCAGGGGGCAATTAGGGGTGGGGAGTGGAGAGGGGACTCTATTCTGGAAAGCTTTGACTCTGAAAGAGTTGGAGGCCCTAGTGGATAATCCACTGAACATGAGCTCCCAGTATGATGCTGTGGCCAAAAGGACTAATGCAATCCTTGGACGTATAAACAGGGAAATGATCAAGGAGGAGAGACAGGTTATATTACCTTTGTATTTGGCGGTGACCACTTCTGGAACACGGTGTCCAGCCCTGGTACCCACAACTCAAGAAGGATGTTGATAAATTGCAGAGGGTTCAGGGAAGAGCCATGATATTGACAGGAAAACATTAAGTGATTGAACTTATTGAGTCTGTTTACCTTATTAAAGAAAAGGTTAAAGGGTGACATGTTCACAGTCTGTCAGTACCTACCTGGGGAACAGAAATTTGACAGGGGGTTCTTCAATCTAGCAAACAAAGGTGTAACAAGAGCCAGTGCCTGGAAATTGAAACTAGACACATTCAGACTTAAAATCAGGCACACATTTTTAACAGTGAAGGCACTGGAACAACTCAGCAAGGGTTCAGGTGGATTCTCCATCTCTGGCAATTTTTAAAACACTATTGGATGGCTTTTCTAAAAGATACGGTTTAGCTCAAACAAGAATTAATTCAGAGTCCTATAGCCTGTGTAATGCGGGTCAGACTAGATCACAATGGTCCCTTCTGGGTTTGTAATCTATTAACTTGATTTAAAAAACAAAACAAAAAAAACCTCTTTTTTGTCATCATCTAGACATATCCCCAAAAACCACATACCAGCTATGGATAGCCAGAGTGCAGCCACTCCCTTTCTCCACTTCTGCAGCAGGGGCAATGAAAAAGCATAGCATAGCAGCCAGCTACTCTGCCTCTATGAATGCGAGCAACTCCTGCATGCTGGGATAATCCCTAACAGGACAGTGGCTGGTTTCTGTTCCCTTTCTGGCACTTGGGCAGCGCAAAGGGGGGGGACGGGACTGGAAGCAGAATTTGCCCCACATCACTGATCTGGCAGCTTGACTTTTCTGAAGTCAGGGCTGAAAACGCTGGATGCATTTGTATAGATTGTATGGTCCAAGAACATCCTTCTTGGGAAGAGACTGAAATTCTTGGCTCCTGAAAAAAAGTATTGCTTCCTCTTTGAGAGGAGATAACCTACATTAGCAGTTTACAATTTCAACTTTTGCACATTTGGCTGACAAGATTAGCAATCAGTGTATGTGTCTACCCCTACACAGACTGCATGCTTCTTGCAGTTTTCACATAATTATGGAAGTTGGAGATAGAAATGATTTGTTTGATTATCTAGCCCATCTCTATGCCAGTGCAGGATTTTTCACTACAACATATTTTGAATGTTCTGAGAAATCTAATTTTACCTCTTCTTTTCCAAACCCTTTGCCCCTTTAGTGGAGATATAATAGGCATGGATTAACATTAAAGATACTGTGATACCTTTTGTAGAGACGTGCTATTACATGCCACTTGTTGGTACCCATTGCTCCAGAACCAGCTGCATGTCACTGTACTGATGTTTGTTACTCCTGGAGGAATTCTGCACCAAAAAATTAAAAATTCTATGCATATTTTAAAATTCTGCAGGATTTTATTTGTCAAAACAACAATATAATCATGCCCATTTCAATTATTTTGGTAATTTATTTCAAAATATGTCAGAAAGTATGTCTGTATCAATACAGACAAAAAAAAATCCTGAATCTTTTTTGGACAAAACAGATTCCTTACTAGGCATATTAATACAGAACGTTGAGTAATAATTCATTTAAACTACAATACAGAACTGTATTTCCTGCACCCCTCAGAAGCAGTGCAAAGGCTTGGCCGAATCAGGGGTAATGGAGGAGCTGAGGGAGAGGGCAGAAACTGCTGGAAAGGAGCCTGGGAGTGAACTTAAGAGGAAGAAAAGTAGGGAAGAAGGGTTTTTTTGGTGGGGGGGGGGAGAAAGGATTGGTAGGAAGTTGGGGAGCCTCCCCCATGAAGACTCTAGCTGACCCCAAGCCTCTCCCATTTCAGTCAGACACATCTGCCACAATCCCCTTCAACTCCCTGCCCCCACCCCCACCAGCTACCTCTCCTCCCCCGTCCCCATGTGTCCCTGCACCCTCTGCCCTCATGTGGCTCTACACCCCCATTCCCATTCAGCCCCTGGCTCAATGCTGTCACCCCACTACCTCCTGTGCCCACCCCAGCCTGTCCCCCCACACTAGCCTTTTTGAGCCCCAGCCTGTATCACCTTCCCAGGAGCCCAGTGTTCACTGCTGTGTCTGTCCCCGCCATACCCCGTGTCTCCTTACCTGGCCCTGCCGGGAGGGTGCTGTGAGGAAACCAGCCTCTCCCCCTCCCTCTCCAGGGCTGGCTGAGCCAGTTGCCCTCTCTTCTGGTTCCAAAGCAACCCCTGGTGGGCAAATGGTGTAACTGCAGCACCTTTCCAGCAGAATGTATTTTCAGCAGGGGAAAAAAACCATCTGCAGGAGGCATGAATTCGGTGTGTGCGCAGTGGCACAGAATTCCCCCAGAAGTGTGTTTGTAGAGAGTATTTTGCAGTAAAGGACTCCATAGTTTAGTAGTATTATAGCAATCCACAATTTTTCAGGCACATACTTTATTTCATTCATATTTCACAGTCAGTCTCTAGAAAGCTTTACGGAAAAAAAAAATCACATTTTGTAATCAAGTTCTCATACTACAGAATTCAGATTTTGCAATGCACTTGAAGGTACAGAAAATATTTACATTCAACCAGAGTTATCCAAGTTTTAAAAAAAACTTCATGAAAGCAATTAAAAATTCAAGATGTATAAAGTTATTAAAACTCTTGCATGAAAGCAGAAGTCTGGTTGACCCATCAACCTTCCCCTTTCCTTGTCATTTCTGCCAGTTGGTGGCAGGACCAACAGCAGAAGCCTCAGAAACTGTTTAGATGACCTTTCAGAGCTCAGGACCTCTGGTTTAAGTCTAGGTTCTTAAATCTATGGATCAACTACAATTTGCTTTAAAAACCTCCAAAACCTGCAGGGCCAATGGTTACAGAATTGTTTGATTGAAGAGGCTAAGTTTCTGGACAATCTTGCTAGGCTGTTTCTGGATTCAGTTTAGAACTGGCTTCAGCTTCAGACGAAGTCTACTAAAAACCAATGAATTCTCTCACCATAGCTCCATGCCCTTTTATTTTACTAAGCTTACAGCTAGGGTAGGAAAGCTTTTGCTATATAAAGCTTCAGTAAGGCTTCCAGCAATAAAGGCAGCTAAAAGACGTAGGAGTAAACTGGGGTTTGACAGCCTTTTGTATATCTACAATCAGCGCCCTCCAGTGTACTTCATTAATTACCTTAACTGCTAATTTATCTGTGGACATGATTCCTAGGTGACCCCAGATTTATTCAGTAGTTTAGAAGATTTTTCTCGTTCAGTACATACTGAATAAGAAGTTTGGATTCTGACAAGCAGTATGATTTCTAAACAGTTGCTGAACTTCTATTCACAGTTTTACTATGTTCACATATATTTTATATAAAATTGTGTGAGCTACAGCAGATTTATACTGTCCAGGATTTTCCTACATCAGGAAGTACACTATATCCTGTTGGAGGGTAATTTTCTGCCCTCCCCCCCCCCCGCCCATTCCCCTTCATCTCTAAAATGTCCACAGTTCATTCTAGATCCATCACTTCACGTTCTAGAACAGTCATTCTTAATAAATAGGGTCTGAATTTAGGATTCTCCACAGCCTCAGATGGGAGAAGCAGCGCTTCCAAGGAAAGAGAAGGAACCTCTGAGGGCAGGACTAGGTCGCTCACATGTCTATTCCCCTCTCTGCAATCCCATACACAAACACCTGTATCACTCAGATCAAGGGAACAACCTTTACTCCCTTTCAATAAGGGGGTTGGAAGCTCCACTGCAGTAACTTTGTTGTGATTCTCTAGCAGGCTCAGGTGTCCGAGTCTTTGGCCTGGAGTGTGTGATGCCCTCCTGCCATATACAGCCTCTTGTTTGAATTTGGTGTCACTATGCTATGTGTTAACAGTTGCAAGCTAACTTCAGATATTAGGCAACACAGGAAACCCACATAAGATTTTGGCCAAATTCCCAACGACTGCTCCTTCCCACCCCCATGCTTTCTTTGGTGGTGCTCTACACCACAGTTGGAATTGTGCTTAATCAGCTACCATTCAGTTGGGTTTTGAGGGGAACAGAGTCTTGGGGCCATCTGGGAAATCTCTCTCTAGCTCCAGAGGCCAGTCCAAGTCTGACTTTCATGTTCCATCCCGCCTTGAGGCATGTATGCAACTCCTTTTCAGTGAACTAATTAAGGTGCTGAAAAGGAAAAACTCTTCTCCTACCTCCAAAGTTTCCTAAGGCATTTGTTACAGTAATGCTGTAGGAGAATTCTTTAGGACCTCATGCAATGTTCATTTGAGGCCATTAGAAGGATGAAAGGGTCATGTCACTGAATTTAAAGACAAAAGGCCAACTCAAACTTTTTAACTGGAAAGCTTTTAGGTTTCTTTTTGAGAAACTGAAATACATACAGGAATGCAAGAATGTCAAGGCAATACTTGATCACATGAAATGCAAGTTTTGTTTGAAAAACATTGTGAAACCAAAGGGATCAGACTCTGATCATATAATTTAGAATGGGAGAGACTGTTCACTTCATTCTTAGATTAGCATATTTTAAATCTCCTTATACAGAGGAGTATTTGAAAGACATGGCTCAAGTTGAAGGGAATACAAAGGAGAGTGACAAGTCAAATTCACACAATATGAAGATGTCTGTAGAACAGCTTTTGAAACAAGACTGTCGGGTACATCTAACACCAAGGTCTAATGCCTCTACCAGAATCAGTGTGTAAGTGCATGCTTCAAGACTAGCAGGTTGGGAATGAGAATACTCATACTAATGAGAACATTAAAAAGTGTTCAAGGTCATATTCTTGGGAAGATGTCACCAAAGTGATCAGTGTCTCTTCTAGTGATACACTCAGATGTTTCTCATAAAAAGAAAAACAGGGCTTGTTTCACTCTAGGACCGGTACAACCACTTTTTTCAACTCAGCAAGCTGATTTCACAGCCAAAGAAAGAGTCTCTCCTAAACTGGATAAAAACCAAAGGATGCATAGCTGCCTAGCGAGGAACATATTTTGGGAAAGTTCTATAGCCTGTGTTATACAGGAAGTCATACTAGTTGATCACAATGGTCCCTTCTGGCCTTGGAATCTAAGAATCTTCATTGTAATGAATTTTTAAAAAAATTACATAACAGCTTCTTTTTTTTTAAAGTAACAGTCAGTGTTTAATTTATTGCATACCTGGGAAATCCAAAGCCATCTTGCTTAGTACAGTTGTTAGCTGTTAACGGGCAGTTCAAATAAACCTGCTTTGGAATAAACACTTCCAGTGCATGTCTAGTGCTTTCAGATTTTCACCCAGCTCTCAACTTTAAAGAAACTAAAATAGGCAGTTGACAGGCATGCCTAGAACTATTACATTTATTTCTAATATACCCCTCACCTCCCCACCCCTACTTTGCTCAAGCAAAGCAACGTATGGAGTGCAGCTTTAATGCAAGCAGATCTCCATTTGTTCAATGTGGTGATTATCCAAAAGAAAGACCACTGTATATCTTTGGAGTATTAACACAAAGCTGGAGATACTATGTTACCCATCCAGTTTCCTCTTTCCATATCAATTCATAAATGGCTACGCTAGACTAGGTCTTTTGTCCCATTCTGTGAATTGGCTGTCTGGAGATAGGGGGTGAAAAAAGATGCTTGCTAGGAAAGAGCCATTTGCAATGTTCTCCATCATAAGAGTGGGAACACATCACATCATAGCACTTTCACACCTTCATGGTCCAAAGAAGAGCACAGTTGCTCAGTCCCAGTGACATGAAGCAGTACTAATTCCAGCCGAGGCCTCCCATTGTGCCAGTCTCACAACTGGCATTTGGGACAGCTTATTAATGGCATGCTGCTTTGTGAATGAGTTTTTAAAGCAGCCTCAAACTTAGAAAGTGCTCTTGTAAAAGCCTGAGACAGAGGAAGAGAGGCACTGGAGTCACTTGAACAGCTATATATTTTTTGCGCTACATGTTGGGATATGTAGGAGAAGCCTCAAGGCTGCTGTCAGCTTTATCTGACCCCGTTAGAGATGCCTCTAGCTCTGCCCAGGCCTGAGGAGCATTGCCCTTTATTGCCTCCATGAACAACTGTGTTTGCTGCTTCAGCCGGTCCAGTTCAATCTGGGTTACCTGGTTCTGATGAATCAGCTCCTTGGTTTTCAAGGTGATCTCCAGCAATCCAGACCTGTGCAGCACAACAAAGGTATTCTGAAAGCGCTTGCGCTTGCGTTGCTGCTGCAACGATAGCTCAGGAGTAGTATAAAGTTCTTCTGCTGCCAAAGGTGGGCTGCAGGTTGCTAACTGCACCATATGATGTACTGGATTCTCCATCTCAGGAGATCTGCAGTCTGATATCTGGAGGAGTCCAGTAGGAGAAAAGGGAATCAAAGCTGGGGCCTTTTGTTTGTCAGTAGAAATATACTGAAAGCCATCAATAGTTGACATTTTTCCACTTGCCATCACAGCTGAAGAACTCTGCTGAGTAGAGTCCTGAGCAGGCTTAAAGTCTGGTGATACTTGGGGGCAAGCACTAGGGGGCAATAAACTAGTCTTACTGGACACAGTAGTTAGTATCTGTGCAAAGCCATTTCTGTCCACTGGTTCTCCCTCTTTCCTCCAGATCCCAGACACGATCTCTTTTGCAGGGATGTGGTGCTGTCTTTGCATAGGAGTTCAGGATGGGCAGGTAATTAGTAGAGTCAATTCTCTTTTCACCAACAAGATGAGGGTTAATGGGAGGGGAGATGGCTGGATGAAGAAACACTAGCTGTGGCTGAGCTGGAATCACTTCAAAAGATGGCTGAACAGTCCAAGACTGAAGCTGCGATGAACTGCTTCCCTGAGAAGTATGGGTGGAAAAAGTGGAATTATCACAACTAACAGTGTAAGAAAAAATGTTAGAAAAGCTTTATCAGAACAGGTGAGCCTGGTGCCAATGCTCCAATGTAGACGCTGTTGCTAAATGCTGCCAGTTATAATGTAGTCTGAGTAGATTTTACCTCGTATAAATTCATTCTTCCCTTCTTGTGACACTGCTAGAGACCAAGCTGTAATTCAGAATCTATCTACTGCTGAACAGCAAATACATTTAGAAGTCATTCCGTTTTAGCATTCCTATTTATGCTAACACAAGCTGGCAGCAACCCTGGGCTTGAGGATATAATAAGAGAATAATAACTACAGGTGTCCAGAAAACTTTGAAAAAAAGTCACAACACTTAAAGTTATGATTTAAAAAAAAAAACATTCAGATGAACGCTGCACAAACATTCTATCTAGAAGTTTAAATTTTATATTAGTTGAGACATAGGAACTCTAATCCTGTCACTTCTATTATTACAGAAAGTGCTTGAAACAGTCTCGGTTATTTCTAACACAGTAGGTAGTCACTAACAAGTGCTGCAGTTTTAAAATTTATTGAAACCATATATTATACAAAAACCTAGCACTTGAAGTAACGCCTACTAGCCCCAGGAGAAATACCTGCTCTACACACAAAGTTGCACCCTTTCAACACCACACCTTTGGTTAAACTGGTGCAACTTTGTGTGCTGAAAAGCTTAAAATCCATTACTGTGGGAGAAAAACACCAGTGCTTCCATCCAAAAGTTACAAATATTTCATTTTTTTAAATTGGCAGGGTTGTAACATCAACAATCTTGATTTAATAAAAAAAAATCACTTACCACATTGATACTCTTTTGGCTCAAAATTGTGCCCTCAGCTAAACCTGTCCTAAGACATCCACCCTACCTCCCACTTGTTTGTCTCATCTACCTTTAATGGCGGGTCTCTTAGATGCCAATGCAGCGAACATGAGCTAGAGTCCATTTGTATTCAGCAAAGCACTTTACCACACAATTAAGTGCTTTGATGAACAGCAAACAGCAGAGGAAGGATGATCCTGTGGTTAGGATGCTAACCTGGGACTCAAGAGGCTCCAGTTCAATTCCCTGCTATGCCATAAGCGACCTGTGTTACTTTGGGCAAACCACTTAGAGGCAGAGAAACTGTTTCTCATCTGTAAAATAGGAATAATATTACCTTCCTACTTCAGAGGGGTGCTGTGGGGATAAATACATCGTGAGATGCTCAGAGATTATGGTAATAGGGGGTCCGTAAATACCTTAGATATACAGATGGGCTGTAGAATTTGAAGCCTTAGGCTACATCTACAGCAAGCGGTAGGGGGTGTAATTCTCCTGCTTATGTACATATACTCATAATATCGCTCATCAACCTAGCGCAAGTATAAATAGCAATGGAGCTGCGGTAGCAAGGGTAGCAGCAGCAGAGGCATGGCTGAGCCATGCCAAGCACATACCCAACAATTTCAGGCAAGTTTGTGTTCAGCCTTGCTGCCAGTGCTACAGTGGCTACACTACTATTTATACTTGAGCTAGCATGAGTATATGTACACAAGCAGGGGAAATCATTCTCCTAGCTGGTAGCGTAGACATAGCTTTAAAGAACAAGCTCTTTGGTGCAAGGCTTGTCATTTACTAGATGTTTGCACAAAAGGACCATTCCACGAAGAACAATTCCAACACAGTTGACTGACCTAACATATTCCAATTTGCTTAGTTATTACAGGTTGAGGCAGGAATGCATTTCATGATCATTAACCTATATCCATTGTTTTTGTTTGCTGAAGTAAAGTCTTCCAACATGACTCCCTCTTTATTTTAATATAAAGAGGTTTGGACATGAAGATCTATGACACAATGGACTGTCTTCCTTGTTTATTCTTAATTTCTCTCCCTTACTCTGCTACATTACAACATTCTATAACTTAGGTATATTATAAAAAATGGTAAAGTTCTGCTTGCAACATGCCCTGGGAAGTTTGTTAGCATAACAAGAAAGCCAGTATTTCATTTTCCATCTCTCACCCTAAAGGCACCAGAAGGTGAAGCTTGCCTAACCCCTATCAGATTGGAGCTTTGTGCATCTGCCTAAACAGTTTGTCCACATTTCCAAGAATGTTTTTTTGGGGGGGACGGGGACGACCACACAGTCTTTTGTCAAGCTAAAGAGAGCATGTTGTGGAGATTAAAGAACTGACTTCCCTATAAAAGCCTACTCCAGACATCTCTTTCATTGCACATCTTGACAGAGCCTCACTCTCTCGTTGGATATCAATACTGAAGTTTAACCAGATTTGCTTTCAACCATGCCAGCCTGGGCTGTGAGCTTGTCAGATCTCACAGGCAAGTCGGGGAGTCTAAACTTGGATTGTGGTTTCTCCTTGGAGGCTTCCCATCCATTTGTCCCCACTGCATTTTCAGGAATTTTTCACTCAGATGGAGGGCTGAAGAAATGTTGGTCCCGCTCTGATGAGAGAGTTAAAAACATGGTTTCTCCCACACCTTATTCTAAGTTGCACATTTTTCACAAGTGGCTAACAATGTGCTCATAGCCTGACAGAACAACGTGGCAGAGAAACTAATCAATTAATGAGTTCACCCAGTTGTTACAACTTAAGGCCTGAAATTTACTTTTTATTTAGTAATTGTTTAACATTTTGCTCCTAATCATCTTAATTTAGACACAAAAATATAGATTAGAACAGAAAAAGCTTTGACAAAAACAAATATAAGCAGAGATGGTTTCATATTTTATTCATTTTGAATTACACTTTACCATTTGCTTATACTATTGGAACCCAAAATCCAAAAGCCTTCTTAAATACTTGAGATCTAGCAAGTGAAACTAACTATTCTAGTTTCACTGTCTAAGCTGAATAAAATACTCCTGGGGGAATTCTGTGCCACTGCACACACACAGAATTCATGTCCCCCGCAGATTCCGCTCCCCCCAAACGTAGAAATACATACAGCCAAGAAGGCACTGCAGGTACACTTTTCACCCACCAGCGGCCATTGTGGTGCCAGAAGAGAAGGCAGCTGGCTCAGCCAGCCGTGGAGAAGGAGGGGGAGAGGCGGTCTTCCTCACAGCACCCTGCCCACGGGGCCACATATGGGGGGAGATGGACAGAGCGGGACACATGGGGGTGTTGGGGAGGTCACACAAACTGGGGTTCAGAAAGGCTAGTGGGGGGTGGGAGACTGGGGCAGGGGCACAGGAGCTAGCTGGGGGACAGCATTGAGCCAGGGGCTGATTGGGAGTGGTGGTGCAGGGCCACATGGGGACAGTGGCAGATGCGCCTGACTGAATGGGAGAGGCTAGGGGTGAACCAGCATCTGCATGATGGAAGCGCCCCAACTCCCTCACAATCCCTTCTCCCCACCCAAGAAAAGCCATGCTCCATACTTCTCCCACCCACACCCAACAACCCTCCACGTGCACTCCCAGGTTCCTTCCCAGCAATTTCTTCCGTCTCCCTCAGCTCCTCCATTATGAGTAATTCCCACGAGCCTTTGCACTGTTTCTGTATTGTAGTTTAAATGAATTATTACTCAAAGTTCTGTATTATTATGCCTAGTAAGGAATCTATTTGTCAAAAAACATTTCCTGAATCTGTCATCTGTGTTACAGACATACTTGCTGACAGGTAATTTGAAATATATTACCAGAATAACTGAAACTGGCATTTTTTTTAATATTGTGTTATTTTGACAAATAAAATATGCAGTTTGCAGAATTTTAAAATATTTTGCACAGCATTTTAAATTTTTTGGCACAGAATTCCCCTAGGAGTAGTAAAGCATCAATGCAGAAAGTACATTAGATTTCTAAAATTCTTTCATTTAAATAATCTGAGGTAATTAGTATTTTTTCCTAAATATGTCTTTTATCTTTCCAGGATCCCTTTAAAATAAAGGGATTTAACAAACTTATATGAGGCATTAAGAATCTTACGTTTGATCTATCTTGCTGATGTTAGCCTGCCTCTGGCCAGGCACATACTCACTCTAACAGATCTTCTACTGATACTATGATTCTATGAGTATAGCAACGAGTTAGATGAACATCACCCTTTAAAAGAGTTATTTGCAAAACGCACTTCTGAAAGGAAAACATACTTTCCAATATATTATTATCTTCCCCCCCGCCCCCCACCTGTCTGACCAGTACATTTTTCCTTACGACCACAGGAGAAAGTGCTGGGAAGGAATTGCTTGTGGCCAGTGAGTAGAGCCAGGGCCCATCCTCTGTGTTCCAACACAATGCATTCAGCATATTCTCTGAGTTGGTCAGCTCCACAGAACTCAGACACCCTGAACTTCCGTCTGGTAGATGCGAAGTCCAGTTATTAGTTGTTTTATATGCAGCACACTTTCTAACCTCCCACCTATTTCCTGATTCCACACTGTTCAATCACATTGTGCATAATGCTGCTAATCTGATTTTGGAAACCAACTAACATGGGCTTCATACATTGTCTGATGGCTGCTCAGTGTCCTCAGATTTTAGTTAAAAGAAAAGGAGTACTTGTGGCACCTTAGAGACTAACAAATTTGAGCATAAGCTTTCGTGAGCTACAGCTCACTTCATCAGATGCATTCAGTGGAAAATACAGTGGGGAGATTTATATAGAGAACATGAAACAATGGGTGTTACCATACACACACTGTAACCAGAGTGATCACTTAAGGTGAGCTATTACCAGCAGGAGAGCTGGGGGGTGGCCAGGATGGTGTTTTCAGGAAGATCACCGATGGATTGTAGTTTCCTCAGAAGTCAGTGGTGTCTCAAAGATAGCTGGGAGTGCTGGTAGCGTAGGGCCTGAGGAGGCAGTCTACATAGACAGACAATCCTGCTGTCAGGGTGCCAATGCCTGAGATGATGGGGTGTCCAGGATTTCCAGGTTTATGGATCTTGGGTAGCAGATAGAATACCCCAGGTCAGGGTTCCAGTGGTGTGTCTCTGCAGATTT